AATACCAATAGATTTTAATTCACAAGTTAAGAAAACGAGTTAGGGGGAATTGTTATCCACCACCAAATAATCATGCAAACATGTTATGTTTCATTCAACTTCCTTTTATTTCCGGATGAAGATGCTCAAGTTGGCTCAATGTTAGAACACAACCTATTACTCTTTCTTACGTAGTATGTTAAGAGAATGACGTTTTCAACTTAACTTAGTTCCTAACATGCAATCTAGAATGGCATGTTCATAGATTTAACAAGTAGAAATCATTAAGAATAAAAAGAGTTTGAGTCATCACAAGACATCGTAAGTACTGGCGTTGTCTTACTTATCCTAGAAATCGGTTCACATGTTAACCACAATTAACAAGTGCTACTCTAGAACATATGTAGGTCCTCATTCAACAAGGGCAGGCAAACATATATTCATAGCATTAAAATCCTAGATATGCTCACTGTGTATGCATCCATAGAAACACATAAAGAATTTATCAATGACATAAGTAGTGAAACAATTTTCATCTTTCATAAAAGTCATTCAAACAAAATATCATAACAGACTTGCAATCATATTCGGGGCTTCAAAACAGCCCCTAACTACTTAAAATTAGTTACACATTATTCTCAAATTAAACCAAAAGTAAAACATGGGTTTGAGAAGATAAAACCAAGAAAAGAAGATCTGCTTCTGTGCGTCTCTGCCTCTGTGCTCTGCTGCTTCAGCCAGTCCTTCCCTCCTGTTTTTCTATGCTCTGCTTGTTTCTGCTTCTGTGCCGTGTGTTGCTCAGTCTCTCTTCTCTTTTCCGCTGGTTTTTGTCAGCCTGCCCTCCTGCTCCGTGCCTCTTTTCTCGTTCTTTGTCCCCGTGTCTATATCCCCAGTCTTCTCTTTCTGCGCTGTCAGTCGTCTTCTTTTAATTTCTGCTCCTCCCGTTTCTCTTGGTCTCTCCCCCACCTCTTATTCTTTTATTTTTCTTTTCTGCTTGCCATTCATTCCGTGTCCCCCTTCATGCATTTGCTGCTGTATGTTAATCATTCATCATGATTTTATGCTTTCTGCTTTCTTTGTTTGATTTTTTTATGTTGTATCTGAAGTGCCCCTTTGCTTTTCTCTTCTTTGTTCGTTGCCTTTAGCCAAAGGGCAATGACAATTCAAAGCACCAAGTCCATCATTTTCTCATTTCATTATTTTCTTATTCCTTCCACATTTCCTTATCTGCCATGCCGTGCTTTCCTTTCCGTCCCATTTATTTATGTTGCTCAGTGTCTTTTATTTTCTTTTCAGCCCATTTTGTTTGAAATTAATCCTAAAACAAAATTAACTGTACATTAACACAAGGTAAGGTAAAATGTCACAATTTTAACACAAAAACATCACAAAGACTTTAGAAATTGATGGTATAAATGCATGAAATATATGAGTGATCAAATACCCCTAAACTTACATTTTTGCTAGTCCTCTAGCAAAACAAAACACAAAACAACACCACTCAACTACGACTAGATTCAACAACTTAGTAGCCAACTTCTCAAACTCGATTTCAGAGATAAGTGCTAATCATGAAACAAACAACCAAGAAGTAAGTAACAAGAGCTCAAAACATCATCCAATAGTTAACCAAATTTCCTTCAAACAAAACTTTGAAAAGCCATGTGTGAGCTAGCCATGTCAATGCAATTCCAAACTCCTTTAAATCATCATATGCAAACATGTGAGCTTCTCACAATACATACACTCATTCACTCATAAGTTTTGGCTAATGTGTTTCACTCAAGTGATCTCATTGTACATGCCGCCATATGCTTGCTTGTCCACCTAACTCGCTATCAATATTTAAGTAATACCTTGGATCAATAGGACTTTATTACGGTTGTAATGGGGCTAAAGGTGATAGGCTAATGAAAGAAAGGATATGGAAATCAAAAATTTTGAGAAAGTACACTTTAGTAATTTTCCAACACCTCAATATCACACCACCTCAAATTGAAAACAAAATAATAAACTTCGAGCACCTGTTACTCCCCAAATTTAACTTCAAAAGGAAATTTATACTTTGCAGACATATTTTCAACAAATCAACACTCTCCACTTTTCATATATTTCTCTTTTTTTTTTTTTTTTTTTTTTTTTTAAGTAGTGAAAGAAACAAATCTGCAAAAGCTACATCACCCATCAAATTCACATTTCATTGTAATACACATGCTTCATCCATCTTTCTACATAATTGAAACCCCCAAAAGCACAACCCATGTAATACTTTCTCAAAACAATAAGGAATCGATTTTTGTGTATGGGCTCAACTCCAATATTGGAGCAAGGTAAAGAGATGTGGCTAACAAAGAAATGGCTTAGTTAAAGGCTCAATGGACTACTACAGATAAACATAGCATATAAGGTAGGCATGAAAGGCTCCAACGATCCAAAGATGGCCTATATCACTTCCAAGTTATTACATGAATTGATTAATGAATCGAGTAGTATAAAGCAAGTTCTAGAGATACATGTACAGTGAGATCATACGCTCAAGAAGGAATGAGATTGATGCATAATGGTTCAATCATGTATAGGCTCAAAAACTCACAAGGTTTACATAATCTCACATGATTCACATATGAAACGCTAAATCATGCTCAAGTTTCACATTGACAAGACTAGGCACATTTATTTTTCAAGTTGACTTCTGGAAATCACAGTTAACACAAAGACAACGAAAAGAACTTAGACTTCTTGAAAGTAAGAAGGAAATTAAGAACAAATCTCATCATTGAATTGAGAAGTAGCTACAAACAACAATAAAAATGCAAAATATATATATATTTTTTTAATAGAGAAATAAACTAACGAAATATATTTCCACCCCCAAACTTAATGATAGCATTGTCCCCAATGATAATGAAAGGAATTTTTGAACAATAAGACATAAAAATGGAAGGAAAGAAAGATAAAATGAAATAAAGACATAAAGAAAAGGAAAGAACACACCAATTTGTGTAGGCGAATCTTGGAGTCTGATTTGAAACCAAGGAACTCTGAATTGTGCAGTCTGCATTCTTCTCTGCTTGTTTCTTCTGCACGGCGGGCAGGCACGAGGTAGAGGTATTGGTCTGTTTCTTTCTTCAATCTTTCCAAGTGCCCACCTCTTGCTTTCTTTCTCCTTGTCCCTAGCTGAACTGTCTCCACATGCTTCGAGGTATCATTTTCACTTCCCTTATCTGTCCCCCAGGCAGATGTGGTAGACGAAGAGAAAGCACAAGATGATAAAGATGAGTACTCGAGAGCAAGGCTAGGTAAGCAATCAGGAAGGGGTTCCAGGCAGTTGGCTCCAGATCGGAAGATTAATACCAAGTGCTGGCTGATTGCTCTCTTTCTCCTTGTCGTAAAACAAAGACAAGGAGAAGGACAGGGAGAAAGCATGATATGAGATACTCTTGCTTTCAACCTTCATGATATGAAATACTTCTGCTTTGGATGGGTTGTTTGCAGAGGTACCCCAAGGAATAAGGAACACTGAGTGACTCGAGAGGGTGTGGTGGAAAGGCATTCTCGGAGATGATGGAATGTTATGTATGTCTTCCTTGCCATGGAGGGTGAAGGTCGACATTTATAGGAAATAATAACCAGTACTGTTCTTTTACTCTTGTCGGCAACCATTAGATGATGGAACAGTAAACTTCACGTGTTTTCTACTTTACCAGAGATCATCGACAGATTGTCCGTAATTTCCGCAAAGCAGACTCTGCATGTGACAGATGTTGACACGTCTGGATAAAGCAGATTCCTTTCCGATTTCTGAGCTTGCCTCTTCGAAATCTGAGCTCCGTCGAGTGCAGAGGGTGCATGTGACGAGTGCGGACAAATCTGGAAAAGAAGATTTACCGTGGTTTCTGAGCAAGCTCAGCTTTTGAGAAAGCGAGCGCCTCTTTCATTTTTTTAGTTGGCCTCTTCGATATCTGGAATTGCCTCTTCGATCTCCGAAATCCCATCGCGTGCTGATTTTTATAGAGGTATGCAGGACGTTCAAAGCACACTTGAATTTCTGCCTTCAAAAACTCCCTCTTTGCATTTCTACTATCTTGACTTGTTCGACCTCTTCTTTCTTTACCACTTCTGAAAAATGTCTGGCCCTTCTGATCGTCGTTTTGACTTGAACCTTGGTGAAGAGGCAGCTCCGCCTTCTCCAGACAACATATGGCGCCCATCGTTCATATCCCCTACTGGTCCCCTTACCGTTGGGGATTCGGTGATGAAGAATGATATGACAGCTGCAGTGGTGGCCAGGAACTTTGTCACTCCCAAAGATAACAGACTACTCGCCAAACGGTCTGATGAGTTGGCTGTTAAGGAATCTCTGGCTCTCGGTGTGCAGGTTCCGTGTCCAACATGGCCCAACGCCTATTTGCCCGAACCCGTCAAGTTGAATCGTTGGTGGCGGAAGTGATGAGTCTCAAGCAGGAGATTAGAGGGCTCAAGCATGAGAATAAACAGTTGCACAAGCTCGCACACAACTATGCCACAAACATGAAGAGGAAGATTGACCAGATGCAGGAATCTGATGGTCAGATTTTAGTTGATCATCAACGGTTTGTGGGCTTGTTCTAACAGCATTTGCCTTCGTCTTCTGGGGCTGTACCGCATAGTGAAGCTCCAACTGATCAACCTCTGATGTCTCCTCCTTCTGGGACTCCGCCGACTGCTGAAGCTCCGCCGACTGCTGAAACTTCTCCTAAGCAGCCTTTGTGAAGGCTCCCTCTTGTATTTATATGCTTAATGTTCCTTTCGTTTTTATGAATGTAAAAATACTTTGCAAGAAGTTGTGGCAGAGATTGCAAAATCATTACCTGCATAAAGGAGCACAAGTAGGACTTAAACATAAAAACCAGAAAACAAGAGAAAAACAGAACAAGAAAATTTAAAATTATTCAATATAAAGATGAAAGATATAAAGCTTGGGTTGCCTCCCAAGAAGCGCTTGCTTTTAACGTCTTGCAGCCGGACGATGCCTAGAGTAATCATCCAAAGGGAACTGGTTCTTGGAGAGGTATAACCTCCACATCATGCTCCACAAAAGACTCGTAATATGGCTTGAGTCTATGCCCATTCACTTTGAACATGTGTCCGGTCTTTGCACTTTGGATTTCCACTGCACCATGAGGAAAAATATTTGTTATAACAAATGGACCAACCCATCGAGAACGAAGCTTACCTGGAAATAACCGAAGGCGAAAATTAAATAGAAGAACTTTCTGTCCAATGACAAAGCTCTTCCTTAAGATCATCTTGTCATGAAATGCCTTTGATGTCTCCTTGTATATTCGACTAAACTCGTATGCATCATTCCTAACAACTGTGACTCCAGATCTTTTAAGGACTACTTGAATAGGGCTTACCCACTTGCTATCCGAAATAGGATATATGATGCCAACATCAAGAAGTTTGATAACCTCTTTTTTTACGACTTCCATCATGAGTGGGTTTAAACGGCGTTGAGCTTCCCTTGTTGGTTTTGCACCTTCTTCCAGCAGAATCCTATGCATACATGTAGCTGGATTTATACCTTTGATATCTGCAATGCTCCAAGCTATGGCAGTTTTGTGATCCTTCAGTACCCGTATCAGTTTTTCCCCCTCTTCTGTTGAAAGTTGTGACGATATGATGACTGGTAATGTTTCATCCTCTCCCAAAAATGCATACTTCAAATGTTCAGGAATTGGTTTAAGCTCCAATTTAGGTGCCTGAATCACAGAAGGAAGAGTTTTTCGTTAAAAGTAGGAAGAGAAATAAAATAGGAAGAACACTTACCACGAATTGGTGAAAGAGACTCAAGAGAGGCCACTGTTCGGATTAATTCTTCTTCAATGTGCTCTGAATAATTAAAATTTCCAGGTGTAATGCTATGCACTAATGCCTTCTCTAAATTATCTTGTCCCACACCTTCATTAAAACAATCATGCACAAAATAGTCAAACACATCAATAGACAAACAAGATTCTAATTCACTAGGATACCTCATAGCATTGAAGATTCTGAACTTGACGCTTTCCCCATCAATTTCCATGGTTAAGGTACCATCGTAGACATCAATCTTCGTCTGTGCTGTTCTAAGGAATAGTCTTCCCAATATAAGAGGAAGTGCAGTAGGCATAGGATCATGTTCCATCTCAAGAACAAAAAAGTCAGCGGGAAAAATGAGCTCATTCACTTGCACAAGTATATCCTCCAATAGGCCTTTGGGATATCTATTTGAACGATCTGCCAACTGGATTACTACCTTTGTTTCCTTCAAGTCTCCAAGGTTCAATGACTCATACACTGAATATGGCATCAAATTGATGGATGCCCCCAAATCACACAATGCTCTCCCAAACGTTTTGCCTCCAATTACACATGGAATGGTAAAGCTACTGGCATCTTCCAACTTCGGTGGCAGCTTTCTCTGCAAAATAGCTAATACTTTCTCACTTAATGCCACAGTTTCTTGATCATTGAATCTCCTCTTGTTCGTACAAAGCTCTTTAAGGAACTTTGCATACTTGGGCACTTGTTTTATGGCATCTAAAAGAGGTAAGTTCACTTGGACTTTCCGGAAAGTATCCAAGATTTCCTTATCAGTTTGCTCTTTCTTAGACTTCATAAACCTACGAGGAAAAGGAATAGGGACACATGAGTTAAATGAATTTTGAACTTCTTTACTTTCCTTAACAGAAACTTTTTTGTTTAATTCTGTATCTTTAGGAGACTTTTCAGTTTCTGTTGAAGCCTCATCTTGCTCAAAAACTTCTTTTCCACTCCTTAAAGTCACAACATTCATCTGCTCCGCATTTGGATTCACCACGGTTTGGCTAGGCAACCTTCCTGGTTGGTGTTGTTGCCCCATCAAATTTGCTAATTGACTCATTTGGCGCTCAAGGTTTTCAATTGCTTTGTCTGTTTTCTGTTGATGAGATTGAGTAGAGTTAGCTAAAGAAGCAATTAAATCCTCAAGAGACTTACTTGGAGCTTGTTGTTGTTGAGGCTGAAATGGTGCCTGCGATCTTGCTTGAAAGAAGCCAGGCAGACGGTTATAGTTGTTGGGAATAGATTGTTGTCCGTTGTCTTGATTGTTCCACTTTAAGTGTGGATGATCGCGCCATCCTGCATTATAGTTGTTGGAATACGGATCATCCTTTTGCCTTTGTTGCCCTTGAAATCCTCCTAATGCATTAGCTTGCTCAAAACCACCTTGATCCATCAACGAAGGGCACATGTCCGTGGCATGTCCCATCATTGAACATACACCACACACCTGTTTTGGAGCCACAATAACCTGTTGCACAAGATTAGTTAAGTTAGCTAATTGTAATTCAATACTAGAATTAGCATTTATCTCGTTAACTTTCTTAAAAGGTAGCTCATCTCTCCCTCCAAATTGTCGTGTGTTGCTAGCAATGTTCTTTAATAATGCCTTAGCATTTATTGGTGTCTTGTCCATGAATGCTCCTCCACTTGCTGCATTAAGCATTACACGATCAGTACCATACAATCCCTCATAAAAATACTGTATTAAAAGATGCTCTGAAATCTGATGGTTAGGACAAGATGCAACCAAATGTGTGAACCGCTCATAGTAATCTCCAAAGGGCTCTCCATGTTGTTGTCGGATTGCACATATGTCTTTCCTTATGCTTGCAGCTTTTGTGGCCGGAAAATATTGCTCCAAAAATGCGTGCTTCACCTGGTTCCATGTGCTCATTGATCCCGGAGGTAAATTGTAAAGTCATTCCTTTGCCTTGGCTTCTAATGTAAATGAGAATGCCCTCAACTTGACTTGCTCCTCATCCACATTTGCTGGTCTCATTCCTGAGCATACCACGTGAAACTCCATGAGATGCTTGTTGGCATCCTCTGTTGAGAAGCCATGGAACTTAGGCAAGTAGTGAATCATGCCGGACTTAAGCTTAAATCCTCCTCCTGCATTTGGATATGTGATGCACAATGGTTGTTGATCCGTATTTGGCATTGCCAACTCCCTCAATGTACGGTTATCAGCCATGCCTTCTTGTGGTTCCTCCTTCTCTTCCGAACTTAAATGTGGTGGAGAAGATGGTGGTAAAGACACCGATGCACACTTTTGCTTGATTTTTCTCTGAAGCTTTCGAAATGTTCGTTCAATCTCTGGATCGTAGGAAGCTAGATCAATGCTCTTAGACTTTCGAGTATGCATATACTACAAAAATTACCTGAAATAAACCCAAAACCAAAAACACTAAGTATACAAGAAATAGAAAATAATAAAAGTAAATAAAAATAAAAATAAAATATAAAAATAATAAAAATAAAATATAAGCAATCAGAAATAACAATCCCCGGCGACACGGCGCCAAAATTTGGTAGGTATAAAAAGCACACCACAAAGTAGCACACAAATATCCTATTAATTTTCCTTATTAACACTAAAATTTGTCGATTGTAGCATATGAAAATAAGGGTCTTTCCCGCAAGATTGTTTTATCAAAATACTTAAAATGTCACAAAAACGGGGTGGCTGTCTCCACTGACCAGCCACCGAACAATAATTATTAGACTAACTTACACGTATCCAAATGCAACGAAATTTTATACACATAAACTAGACACACCAAGCTATGCTCACACAAATGTTTGGGATTTTTGGAGTTGATTAGCTATTTAAATTAAATCGGACAAAACAGGACCTCAACAAGTTTTAAATAATACCAATAGATTTTAATTCACAAGTTAAGAAAACGAGTTAGGGGGAATTGTTATCCACCACCAAATAATCATGCAAACATGTTATGTTTCATTCAAATTCCTTTTATTTCCGGATGAAGATGCTCAAGTTGGCTCAATGTTAGAACACAACCTATTACTCTTTCTTACGTAGTATGTTAAGAGAATGGCGTTTTCAACTTAACTTAGTTCCTAACATGCAATCTAGAATGGCGTGTTCATAGATTTAACAAGTAGAAATCATTAAGAATAAAAAGAGTTTGAGTCATCACAAGGCATCGTAAGTACTGGCGTTGTCTTACTTATCCTAGAAATCGTTTCACATGTTAACCACAATTAACAAGTGCTACTCTAGAACATATGTAGGTCCTCATTCAACAAGGGCAGGCAAACATATATTCATAGCATTAAAATCCTAGATATGTTAACTATGTATGCATCCATAGAAACACATAAAGAATTTATCAATGACATAAGTAGTGAAACAATTTTCATTTTTCATAAAAGTCATTCAAACAAAATATCACAACAAACTTGCAATCATATTCGGGGCTTCAAAACAGCCCCTAACTACTTAAAATTAGTTACACATTATTCTCAAATTAAACCAAAAGTAAAACATGGGTTTGAGAAGATAAAACCAAGAAAAGAACCTTTTGTCTTGTGGCTTGTGGTTTTGGTTTCCTTGTTTTTTTGTAGGTCACCAATGTCCATCCTTCTTCATCATTAGTATGTGCATCTTGTTCGTTTGCCCCCAACGATGGTTGCGCAGAAGGTATCGTGCAACTTGAGCATTGATAGGAATGGTCAGGTATTGCTTGGAGAGGCACGGGATCGAAAGATCCAAATGCAATTGTAGTAGTATGTGTCGCAGCCGTGTCTTCGAGGTCGAGCTCGATTCGCCCTTGTTGTGCTAGCTTCATGATGAGCTCTTTGAGGACAAAGCATTTACCCATAGGATGGCTCACAATTCGATGGTACTTGCAGTATTTAGGATCGTTTATGCGATTCATTTCTTCAGGCCGCTTGCATTCGGGTAGCTCGATTACCTTCTTTTCTTGCAAGTCGTCTAACATTGCATCCATGTATGAGTCAGGAAAAGGGTATACCATCTGCTCCAATTCCCTCAAGGTGCTTTTGTACCTTTCTTGGGTGCGAGGAGGCTCACTTTTCTTTATCTCCTTTGCTTTGGTTTTGGAGGAGATCTTGATAGGCGCGGAGGCGGTCTTGACGGGCGTAGTGCTGACGGTGAACGCTTCCTTGGGGGGTTTCTTCCCAGTCTTGTCTCTCCGTGATGGGCAATGCTTAGCTCCATGTCGTGGGCACGGGTGGCTAACTCTTCAAATGTCCGTGGTTTGATGCCTTGAAGGATATAGTGTAACCCCCATTGCAAGCCTTGGACGCACATCTCGATCGAAGAGATCTCTGAGAGCCTGTCCTTGCAGTCGAGGCTCAGATTGCGCCATCGGTTGATGTAGTCCACGACTGACTCATCCTTCCATTGCTTCGTGCTTGTCAACTCTAGCATGCTCACGGTGCGGCGGGTGCTGTAAAAGCGGTTGAGGAATTCCTTTTCCAATTGCTCCCAACTGTTGATGGATTCAGGCTCTAGGTCTGTATACCACTCAAAGGCATTTCCTTTCAGCGAGCGTACAAACTGCTTAGTGAGGTAATCTTCTTCTGTCCCCGCGTTGTTGCAAGTCTCAATGAAATAGGCGACGTGTTGCTTCGGGTTTCCCTTTCCATCGAACTGCATGAACTTTGGTGACTGATAACCCCTTGGCATCTTCAAAGCGTCAATTTTCTTGGAGTAGGGTTTTGAGTATAGTACGGAGTCACGTGAACTTCCTTCGTACTGTGCCTTGATGGTGCTGGCGATCATCTCTTGCAGCTGTTGGATAGAAAGAGATCCCATGAGTGCCGCTGCTTGGCCTGGCTCCAGCTTCACATCGATTTTCTCCACCGGACGCCTCGTCGTTTTCCTTCTTTACTGAATCATCCCCTTGCTCGATTTTCACGTCGGGCTTTACATCTAATTGGTTGACGAGTGCGGCGATTTGCTGGTCTTTTTCTTCCACAATCCGTGTTAGCCTTGCGATCGCTTCATTCATATGAGCCAGCTGCTCATCTATTGAAGTAGCTCAAGTAGTCATGACTTGCATGGCTGAGCTGCCGCTTGAGTCGACATCGGAAATAGTGGAACCAGAGTACTTCCTTGTGTTTTCCTTCCTTGGCGCCCTTAGCGAGGCCAGGGTGATCACAGGTTCGTGCCTCGGGTGCTCTTGTTCCTTTGGCGGAGTTGATGTAGGGGTAGAAGAGGCGGTAGAAAGAGCTCTTGCCTTGCTTCGAGTTATGACGCCCGAAGTGACACCGCCTGCGGTGATGACGTTCTTATTCTTTGCATTGGCTGCGAGAACAACTTGAGCCTTCTTTGATGCCATTTGTGCTTTTTGCGGATTCAAAGATAGAAATGAGAGGTAGAGATGGTCCCACCGGGCGTGCCAAATTTGTAAACACGGAAATTCCTGCGATGAACGAGACAAGAAACACGTGTACAAAATAATATTTGTATTCATGATTTAGGGGTTACAATCTCTTCTACAAATTTAGCCTCTGATTCTATCTTTGTAATGGGTGGATTTGATGTTGTTGATCCAAAGGGCCGTCGGGGCTTGATCTTGGGATAAACGGTTGTGCGGATTTGTTGATGTCGTTGATCCAAAGGGCCGTCGGGGCTTGATCTAGGGATGAACGAATGATGAATGATGAACACTTTATTCAAGGGCCATGGGGGAAGGCTTGATCTTGAATTAGTGGAAGTTCTTCAAGGACCGTTGGGGCTTGCTTTTGAATGAGGATTTGACGAAGAACGAAGAGAGCTTTCTTGATCCTTCGGGATTTGCTTGGGAGCTTTGGAGTTTCAAAGCTTCAAGGTTGTGGTGTAAGGTGAATTGGTTATGAATTGGTGTCAAAAATGAATGCCTTGGCCTCCTATTTATAGAATTCCAAAACTTTATTTTTTTGGATTTGAATAATTAGATGAAATAAATCATTTCTGCCAAGTGTTGACACGTGTCCTGTTTGATGACTTTTCCGATTTATTTTGATTTTTCTTTTAGTCACATGCTATGTGTAAAATTTATGTGACACATAAACATTGAAATTTTAATTATTGATCAACATTTATTTTACCAAAATTTCGATGTCTACAATGGGATTAGCAATCCCATGTTTTTTGGGGGGCTCACTAGGACGACTTAGCAAAGCAGTTAGTCGGAACAAGTCCAACTTAATCTCATTTTAGTTCAGCTGGCACCAAACACAAGATTAGTAGTCTTAGCAAAGCAATCTAGCCGGTCTAGTGAATGTTAACGAGGGCAAAATAACACCCTAAATACCCTTCCATTATTTCACCAATCCATAAAAATAAAAATAAAATTTCTCATTTCACTACAAAAATTCAATTTTTCGCAATTGAATTTTTTTACATCAAAATGTTTGTAAAAGTAAACCAAGATAGATTATACAAAAGCTAATTTCAAAATTGCTACCAAAAAAAATTCAAAGGAATACAAAAGTTTAACATATTATAAAGTTGAGTGTGGGAATTATAGGTCCTTCACCTTTGGAGGAGGAGAAAAAAATAAAAAATAAAAAAATAAAACTCACTAACCTCATAAGTATAGATTAATAGTTAAAAATACGGAGCTAAATTTTAGGATTTCTCACTATTGGGTTGGAGATAACCTTCAGACATGAACATGTACATGAGGGAAGCTTCTTCAAAGTAAACAAAAAGCAAAGAGTAATGCTAAGGTCTCCAAAAGTGAGACTCGCTGCTAACTCACTGTTTAACGGTACTCTTTAACACCTCACTGTTTAAAATTAATTCCCGTGCTAGCATTTTTCAAGATTTAATAAGACATTCGGCCGGAAGATAATGGGGAGCTTTCATTGACGCAATGTCTGGGGGTGCTGTCAAAATTAATCATGATTTAATCA